AGACCAAGATATCAGGAATTACGATATCGTTAAGTGTCGTCGATTTACACTTCAGACATCACCCATGCTGTAGAGCCCCCGAGAGATGTTTGCATGCTGTCAGTCATTACCCGGACACTTCTTTATATAATATACGCCGGTTAGTGAGTGCGAGGGCATGAGAGGGTTTGAAACTGCCATGTGCAATCCGAATGTGGTTGGCAAGTCCAGCTTTTAAAGGTGGCCCCGCATGGGCCCGTTTCATCGGGCCAAGGACAAACGCGCATTCGTTCGGTTAAAAAGAGCCTCGGCCCCCTGGGCCCCATGGCTGGATCCCGCGCGGGGCTCGAGAGAGTCGGGTCCAATGCTTCCACCGGGGGAAGGCACTGCGTGGGATCGCGACATCAAACCGCTTAAATCGGGCGGCGAACTCGGGCTCGACAAGTGCTTGAACAGTCCAGCGAATTTGAATCCACATGTCATGAGCTTCCTCGGACGCAAGCACAAATTGCTCAATGTCCGCCTAAAACCGCAAAGCCCAGGGATTCGTGTCTGGCATCACCGAGATCGAATCCCCAAACACTTTTTCTCCTATAGCGTGCCAAACCAAGCATGAATCAATTGTCTTGGGGGTTCGGGGTCAATGCAAATTCCTTGAAACCACTTCAGCCGTCTAACGCGAAACTCAACGCATAATAGGGTAATCTTCGAATGCTGAAGCACCTGCCGGGGCGACAGAGAGCGGACATGGTGCGCATCTTCCCAACTCGTTTTGCCCCTCATCGCTCTGCGACAGAGACCAGCAAACGCGAGCTCAAGCTTGCGCAGCTGTCCAGCACTAGGAAGACAGCATTCAACTGCCGAAAGGGCCGAATTCACAACATTGCAAAGCAATATACATAGTTCCCATCGGCGCGGTATGTTGGGTTGCTGCCGGAACGGCCCCACGCGGAGATAGGCAGTCTTGGCGGCAAGAACTCGCCCGCCTAATTCAATCTGAAACGGTTGAGTCGGGGTGGGGCGAGGTCCTAAATAGCGCGCCGACTCTCCGCGTCCACGCTGCTGGTTACGAAGCGTGTGGACACGGCGTTTCGCCGATAGCGGGGCCGAGAACATGGTCTCTTGCTTTCTTGGGTTACGCTAGAGGCCAAACATCGCTAGTTCAATATCTAAAAAAGTTCGCCATTCTTAAGCGCAGGTCGCTTAGCGAGGTCCAGGGAGAAGACGAGGCCCAGGACCCGCGTTTTTAACGAATCATCGGCGAATTTAATCAGACCAAGACACACTTTGGGCTGGTTTAAACGCTCACAACCGACTTCAAGTTTTTGCTCCAGGGGATCTTGTTGCTGGCATTTCGCAATCCAACGGTCAACAGTCGGACGAAACGCATGAGCCAACGACGCGACGGCAAAAGGGCCCCCTTGGAGCATGCCGCGCCCCGTTCGCAAGTGGGCGTCGCCTCTGTCAGGTGGGATGGCCGCGCCAGCGAGCTTATAGCGTTGCTGACAGAATCGACGCTCGATTCCATTAGCCATTCCCTCGACGGCAGCGTCGACAACTGGCCGGGGGGGCGAAGCAAACGCGTTGCTTACATTTTTAAGCGATCAATCCAATACAGCCCAGCTTTGTTCAGACGCCAAGATATGCAGAGGTTGGCAGAAATCTGATCTTCCCGACGCCTTCGCCCCAGGAAACCTCGATCCATCTCAGAGTGGATGTAGGGCGGCCCCCTGCTCATCGCTCTCTTCAAATAGGCTTTGCCGAGAGGGTCCAAGCCGCGCGCCGCGCGCCGGCCTGGGGGCCAGGGAGGGCGCACCTCTGCAGAGCAAATCCTTGGCTACAGGACCACAGTCTCGGCAAATGACCTGCGTGGCGAATGTGGGAAAATGCGCACCGGCCAGCTTCTAACTTGTTCGGCAGAGATCGGCGGCAGCTGCGAGCCGAGTCCAGCATGGCTGCGAGGACCCCCCTCAGGAGGCTCACCAGCGCACGAACCCCAAAGCTCAACGGGCAAGGGCCACCTCGGGGCCCCCTTGCGTTTAGAGGCTGACTTCAGGTACGCTTGAAAGTACGCTAGATCTCCTATGGCATCTTTACGACATTGTTCAACTCTCTCGTGTCTATACATCGGCGGAGGAGGGGGTCTTCTAAATTGCTCCCGATCCCGCTCCAAGTCCTCCCCATCCCACCCTCCCCGCCTGGCTTGGGCCGCGTCTCAAGCCATTCCTCTGCCGTGGGCAGAGCCCCTTGCAGACGTGAAAAATCGCGCTTGCCACTGCCAGAGCGGCCTCCTGCGAGGCGCAGACTCAGACGATGTACTTCAGCCATTTGTCTGCGTCGCCAAGCTTCATATATCGCCTCCACCAGGTCTGCGTTATTATGACACGCGCTTCCTCGCGCTGGGCCGCACACTTCTTGGTGAGATTCATGAGCTGTGTGCAGCATGCATCCAGATCAGCAGCAGAGGAATCGTGCAACTGTGCCCGAAGCTCACGACGTTGTGCAAGTAGGCGTAGACGTTCTTTGTCCTCAGGGTCACGTTGCGTGGGCGCCTTCCTTTCGAACAACTCCCTCCCTTCATGCCGTAACACGTCATCAAAGTGCGGCAGCAATGATTGGGGATCATCGGTAATAATTATAATAGGCTCCAAAGCAATGTGTCGCATTGGTTGTTCCACTGCGTCCAAAAATATGTCGACCATGTGATCATCGGAAGGCATGAGTCAACCGATGTTTGTCCCATTTAACATCGGCACATGCATCACCACTAGGAGCCTTCCATTCATCTTTTGTGTGACTCGTACAAACCCAATCCAGTTCATTACGAGCATGTACCAGTAGGTGGTCATAGTGAAAAAGGTGCAAGAACATATCGCAGCCTAGTGCCCATCCGCCGAAGAGGTCCGTGTGAGCGTAGGTGTTCAACAACTGAGAGAGGCAGGAACACATTATGTATCATGGTGGACCTGCCGTGCGCGTCGAAGAACGTATATGCAACTCGGTCCCTGGCGGTACTGGAGAATAGACAATGTTCTTCCATGAGTTCACGAAGTCTGTGGCGAGCTCCCCAAATATGTTTTTCTTGGATAAGTCATTTCCCGATCGCCAGCTCCCCGACATTCATCCACTGTCCTTTTTGCTAAGAGGATCCCATCCCGTCAGTCACATCAGTCATGAAGAAGACCAGTACAGGCTGCGGAACCTTGCTGAACGCCGGTGATGCCCATCGAATCATTTTCCCACAGCACGAAAAGTAATTCGGAAACGATATTCTGTCTGACGGCTTCGGTGGATGATACAGTCTCATCGCGCAGAACGAATCCCCATGTAATCTGAAGTAAACTCCCATGCCGCGCCCTTGAAGTTGATCTGGTGGTGTGTCAACCCTTCGAATACAGTGTTGCGGTCATCTCGGTGGAAGCATAAAAGGCGCACCCAGCACTCTTGTTCGAGAGCTTCGTGTGTTTCCAGCCTGCATTGACAAAGATTCTGTCCAAGATCTTGGCCATGCTGTAGCTCTCGTTCATGAATGTGTTGGTGCGTGTGCCCTGTAATCCAGTCATGCCGAAGTTGGGCGTTTCGGCTGCGATATATTCCATCTGAGACCTTGATCCATGGAGACAGTTTGAAAAAGAGGATAGCAAGCGTGTAGCTCATCATGCCACTAGCCAGCGGCCACATGAAATTGAGAGTAACGTGCCGAACGTGTGAGTGTGTGACCTTGGAAAGGGGCGCGCAGCATAGGAGAAAAACGGCAGCGCTAGGAGGAGGAGGAGGAGGAAGAGGAGGAGGAGGAGGAGGAGGAAAGGGAGGAGGAGGATGAGGAAGGAAGGGGAGAAGGAGGAGGAGGAGGAAGGGAGGGGACCGTCGTCCCACTCTTGATGGGATGCAGAAGGACATGCTAGTACTATGCGCCCCCCCAGGAGGTGCACGTCCGATCCGAACATGTCGTACAAACATCTTAGAGCATAGAGTTACCCACGCATGTATGGCCAAAACGCGCCCGCCATCGAGCATATGAACAATAAGATTTCTCAGCGCGCGCGCGTCGCTCCTGGCTTGGGCCACTGGCAAAGCAACACGACTGAGGAAGACTCTCCGGCACCGCTAGCCCGCCGCCCGCCCGCCTCTGGTTCGGGACCTTCCTGGCGGGGCCGCCTGGCCTGGTCGAGAGCCGATGTCCAGAAGAAGCCGGGGCCAACCCGCAGAAGGCCGGCGGCGGCCAGGTGACGAGTCGCCGAACTTCGCGCCTCGCGCCGCGCGATGAACTATCTTTGCGCTCTCGCGCCGCCCCCTGGAGAGAAGAGCAGCACAGCCCCCCGGCACAGGCCAGGAGGCACAGTCGTCTGCGCACCCTCGCGGTGGACCTTGGCTGCCGTCTCCCGGAGTGTAAGGAAGGGGCAGGAGGAGGAGGCCTGCAAGATGTGGTGGGTCGGCGTAGATGGTGTCGAAGAATCGCGCCGCATCGGCGATGCATCGGCGACGTCGGCGGTGCATCGGCGACGCCAGCGCGGAGAAACTGGGGCTCCAAATCAAGCCGCGTCGGCGATGCATCGGCGATGCGGCGCGATCCTCCGACCCGATCTACTCGGAACCCGTTGGGAGGGTCTAGAGAGGATGATGGCCCTTCATGGCTGGCTCAGAGAGGCAAGCCCGCGCTTCAAACAACCTCTTGCCAGCGGGCCATGGGATACGGCTCTCCCGGCTGGCAGCGAGCCTGCGAATAAACGCTCCGAACCAGCCTACGCATTGGAGGCGTCACACCGGAACTGCCTCATGCAGCCTTCTGCTTTTCGGGCTCCAGGGGCCTCCTCCTCCGATTCCTATTCCATCCTGGCCCTCCAGGGGGTACGACGGAATCTCCAGACCTTTCTTCCACAGCATGCTCCTCATGCCCGATCAGGGCACCTCGCATGGGCGTCGTTTCTGGATGGGCTGATGGAGTTAATAACGCGAAGGAAGGGCCTAGAAGAACTGCTCCGAGCCAGCCTGCGCATGGAAGGCGTCACATCGGAACTGCC